TTTTATAAAATATCATATTATTTACTTACTATATGAGTAAAAAGGCCAGAATTCCTTGAAATATAAAAATGAGATAAGCATTGAGAATCCAAGCCATTGAGATACAGCTTAAATGGAAAAAGCATTCCTTTCATGCATTTCTTTATTTATCTAATCATTAATACATACCTCCACTATTTTCTGAGCAGTCACCAAAGGCCATCTAATTATTAAGATTCTGTTAATACAAAGATCTGCAAACAGAATTTAGTCTCCGAGGATCCCACAGACTAGTAAAAGAGAATAACATGTCAATACATACATAAATGGATGAATTTTGTATAATATTTACCCCTGTGTGAACTTAGTGGATTTATTCAACTCCCAAGCCTCAGGTTTTTCATCTGAGAATGGTAATAGTAGAACCATAGGCATCTATCACAGAGACTGAAAAAGACTCAAAGGCAGACAAATGCTAGCCCACCTCCCTTGCTCATCTTTGTAATCATTGCTAACATATGTTCATATGTTAAATGTGCCAGAGACTGTGCCGAAGGGCTTCCCTTGGATTCTTACATCAAATCTTCACAATCACAAGCTACCTACCAGGGAGTTGAGTGGGAATTGCCCACATTTTATAGATGAAGAAATTAGACCTCAGAGATGCTAAATAAACTTGCTCAAGGTCGCTCAGCTAGTTAAGGCTGGAGTGTCACATCCTTTCCAAATGACTCTTGGGCCTGAGCACCCCACTGCAGGGCTCTCTCTTTGCTCTCTTGGAACCCTTCCTCCTCTTGTTATTTCCAACAAGACATTTATCACTCTAAATTTCATTGACTGAAACTCAATGACCTGCGGCAAACATCATTCTAAGGAACAATATTTGCACAATTTTCATATCTTAATGCAGCAACTTGAGCTTCCATAGAGATTTAAATCCCTAATGAAATTTCCTTGTCAAAATTCTTGCTGAAGGATTGTTTAATTTGCTGCTCATAATATCTTTGGAGTGATTTTATGCTCAGGAAATAAGTTTCCCTCCAATGCTTTCTTCTATTTTTCCTCCTTTTCTCTCTCTTCTTTACTTCCTGAGATTCCAGTACCAAGGGATTAGGAGTTTCTGCCCTTGTTTCTACTCCAGACAATGCGGAGTTGGTCAAAACTGCACCTTTGCCAATAAATTTTAAAAGGTAAAATAGAGTCTCATATTAGATGTATTTGGAAAAATGATACAAAGGTATCACTCTGATGGCCTCAATGGCTGCTATTGACAAGTGTTTTTACAGTGATCCCTATCTGGTTGCTGAGTTATGATCTTGCAAAATGTCACCTTCTTTCCCTCCTCCAAAAAAAACTTTAAAAATTATTCTGAAGCATATATGCAAAAATATGGCTTATAAAGTACTTGGATGTCAGTTTTTGAAGGGGGTATCTAATGCACAAATGTCGAGTATGGATTCAATGCACTACAAGCCACAATCAGATCACAATGTTGAATAGTAAGCAATGCTTCAGATGCAAATTAGGAAGGTAGTATAAGGGACAGACTTTGATAAGGATCAAGAGAATGTGACCTTCCATGGAAGCACCAATAGATTCTGAGCAGAATCAGAGAATGGGATGGGATGGAGAAGGTGCCCTTCAGAAGTGAGGGTCCTCCCCTTTACATGGTCAGCAACCATTTCAGAGCTCTGTGCCTTTCTCTCTCTCCCACTTTCAATGTCCAGTGATACCATGGCTGCAACAACAAGTAGCAAGTCTGCAAGCCCAAGCTTTGCAACGCAGCTGATACATCTTTAACTCTTGGAGTCATCTAACCTCTGTGGAGGATAGAAGACAACTTCCACCAGTGGTCCGTGCATGCTATTGTACATTCACCCTGGGGTTTCTTTGGAACTTAGAATCCATG